TTAGCGAGGTCAACAACCAGCCGGGCAGAAGCACGTTCCTCATTAAGCGAGCGTACATTTGGGATGCATGCCCTCAATCGTAAACGTTTGCCGCTACCTGGTGAAGGACGGTCAAAAGATTTCCCCCTTATGTGGACTTCTGCGCACGGAACTTTTCAGTTTGGCATTCCTTATTGAACCCTTAATGTAACACATTTTCAGTAAAGAAGCGGCTCAATATTAATATCCTTTTATATGCCATTGTCTAACATTTGAAAGCAGCAGGATTTCTATGTTGAAAGTATTTAAAATTTTTTTTTAATATCAACATTGAGTCTGTACATCCCACTTAGCGACGTAAAATAAACGTTAGCGTTATTACATTTTTGGAATGCCCGTTAATTTATTTAAAATAAATACATGTGTATATATATATGTATGTATATAGTAATGTAAGTGCTTACAGTGCTTTTATGAACATCTAGTTAATAAATATGTATAGTAAATATGGATAAACATACTATAATATGTATGTGTATATTTTTCCCCTTTTTACTTATTTACAGCCTACTAAATTCTTCAAGTCTACACATGAACACCAAGAATTGCCTTACACAATTTAAAACCAATCGCACAATTCCAGTTAAAGCTACAACCAAGCTTTTGATATAAATTTTGTACTAACAGGAATTTGGCTTTTGCGGTCAGCAACCGTTGGGAGTTAAACTTCCCGTATTTCCTAAACCGATCCTGCTGGCCCGATATAAGGAATCATTTCTAAACTTCCCGTATTTCCTAAACTCGTTTCTCGCCTGCATAGCTTCCCGAAATATAGAAGATAGCGAAGACCAGATAAAACATCAGTGAAACTTTCAAGGCGATCATTTTTTCTGTTTTTTGATGAATAAAATTTACTCCAGGTGATACTTCTGTATGAGCTGTACTGACATTGCAATGGCTGAAGCTGCTTTTATATGCAACATTATGCCTTTAATAATACGTACATACATATATGTACAGACAAAAGTATTTACACAACTGGACGTAATTTTGAAATATTGCAATTATTTACAAAATAAATTCGTAAATTGTATGCATAAAGACTAATAATGTATGTATGTTGCTTTTTATTTTAGAGAATTCTCCTAATCGATATATTTATGTATGATTTATGTATGTATGTATGTATGTACATTTGATTACTCCCAAACGCCGGCGACCCTTTTTTCACTTGGCCTTGAAAACGAAACATCTGCATTTATATGCAATTGCATATTTGTTTCAGTAAACTGCTGTTGAATATTTAAAATAATATTAGAATAACTACTGGTTTCTGCATATTAAACCAAACCTCTATATCTCTATATTAACGAAGCGCTGAATACAAATACGTGGTCTGTTAGTA